AAATCACGTGATCACACAACATAGTATGGTTAGAAATGCGCATGGTGCCCATCCCTATCCCCCCCAAAAAAACAAATTTGACATAATAATAATAAGTTAAAATTTTTTTGATATAGTATGTATATAAAGTTATTATAATTGATTTCATATCGTCAAACTTGTATTGTTTTTTTTTGGGGTGGGAGGGTGTTTTTGTGTAACGGGTATAAACTTTTGGATACGGTATATATGATTTGAGATGCCTAATTAAATATCTCCGTAGGCAATCAAGTAGTAATTTGTTTGTACAGTCACCTAGAGACATTTAGTTAAGCAACTCAGTTCAGAGATACCAAAAAATAAATCTCATATTCATATGTCGATATTATATATTATCACAAACCTTTGCTATCCTTGCTCGTTTAACAATCTCATTGATTTTTCTGATGGTAGCATTATGTGGCAATTCACGGAGACTTTTTAGCATGTCTTTTTGTTCAGCATCGAGTAATGGTCTACAATCCTCAAATGCATTAGAAGGTTTTTCTGACCAGAATGAGCCAAGATAAACTCGCATTACTTCAGGAGTCTGGACAACTTTTCCGAGTGACCACATCAAAGCACCATACCTTCATAATAGAATTAAAATAAGCCAATAAATGGTCTTAAGTTATGTAAATATTTGATATACAGATATACATAACAGATAAAGGAAGAATACTTACACACGCATTAATTGTTGACCATCGACCATATCGGCTTTGTTAAGTAATACTCTGACTTTTTCCTCATGTCCTCTCAATGAATTGATTGCCAACTTGAATTCATTGGAAATATCCAATTTGTGAGAATCAAAAAATAATAATATCAAATCTGCTCTTTCAGCAAGCCATTCGATCACAGAAGTAAAGTCATAACCACGGTCAAGTCGTTGTTTGTCGCCAGCTAGAATGCCAGGAGTATCAATTATCGTCATATTCTCAAGGATAGGACTCGGAAATTGTGAAACCTGAAATCTTGTTAAAAATGCTTGTCCAAATTTGTTAAGTCCTTGGTAAGGTAAATGTGAATCTACAGCTGCAGCATTGCCAGGAATGACCTATATTAAAATAATATCAATAAGAAATAATTTGATCAAAAAGTTCATTTTAAACTTATAAAATCTACAAACCTTCTCTTCTACACCATTCATCACAGCAACGAATCGATCCGTCTAGATTGAAAATACTAAATAAGTATAAAACATCAATACTCAGAAAACGCATTTATCAAATATCAATATCGGGAATAGTATTCTTTGAACTTTTCCTGTTCTTGTAAATTTTATTTAATACTCACTGTTGGTTCTACGCCAATGTGACTTCCTGGAAAACAAAAATTATCAACACATATTCAACTTATTCAACTTAAAATAAATAAATAACTAAAAAAGCAAACCAGGATATTCTCTCTCTAATAAGTATTTTATGAAGGTAGTTTTTCCAGTCGAATATTGCCCCATAAGTAGAACAATAGGTTTTGCTTCTATATCACTGTCTGTTAATGGAGGTGAATGAAACCCTTCAAAATTATAAGTAGTTTCAAGAGATTTGATTTTTTGACTGTAGATCTTTTTTAAGCCATCAACAATGACTCGATAATTGTCATTATTAAGAGTTTTATCTCGACTGGAATTTGCCATGACTTTACAACGTAAAGAACGTAAAGAATCTTGAATAAAACCAAAAAAAAACTTAATTGGTGTTCCGTTTTATTAATGTACAATCTTTTTGTGATTCTCGGGCGCACATGCATAACTTTAAAGGTACTCTTAACATCGAAAATCAATTGACAATTCCAAAATCGAATTCATAGTCCGTCAAATAGTCCGTGTCACTAGTCAATCTATCAGACCATCCCTATTCGAACATATTTTATAAGCTTATTGCTGTATAAACGCGTTTTTAGTCAACTAGAATCGTTGTTTTGCTCTTACACTACACCGCACGTTCAATTTTTTTTT